CCAAAGCCTGAAAATTTAAAGTTTTTAAAAATTAAATATTAAAAAATTTGAAGATTTGAAATTAAAAAGTTTAAATATTGAAAACTTTGAAAATTTGTAATTTAAAAAACTTGAAACGGAGCCAAAGTACAGTACTGCAAACAATTATGCGCAGAATGCAAGCAAAGTGTCTCACCCATGCGATGCACTGAAATAGCGCATCACAATAGCTACCACACTAACTCCACGCAATTTAAGTTTTCCTAAATAAACATAAAGAACCGAACACGACCAACGTAGACAACACACAGTTCGTAGAATCGTTGTCCGATCAATTGATCAAATTCAACCGCAAAAGCAATTTATTTCTTGCAACCTACTTTGAGTAACACATGGAGGAAAAAAAAAAAAATGTCTATCCGTTCGTGTCCATTCAAGTGTCGAATCGAACAATCACCGTAACACAACGACCACGTTACCTGGTTCAATAACGCTGGAGCACGTGTGTTGGAAGGTTTACTACCATGTGGAACAAAGAATCGAACGGTATCAAAGAGGAGCGTCGACTAAGCGTGTCATGTAACTTATCCACTGGCGTTTATACGGCGAATGAATTAGGTTCGTGGCAACGGCATGCAGAGCAATAGGAAACCGTCGGTTTCGTCTTAAAAAGGAAATCGGTGTACATGGCGTGAAACCAGCTACCGAAAGCTAAGAGAAACATTTTCCCCGATCGAGAGCATGGAACTGTGTGAACACACGACAAGAGTTATGTTACGTTCAAATGCAATTAGCATAGAATATAGTTGCCGCATAAACGCAAGTGTAATTAAGAAGCAACCTTTTTTTTTTCTAACAGTACAATCTAATTAACATTAGACAAATATTTTAAGTACACACATTTGCCTTTAAGCATAAGTATAATCATTGCCTTAATGTTTTCTAGAAAGTGGTGATTTTCCTAAACCGTGAAAGCGAGAGATTTTTATCATCGGTAATGGCGTTAATGAGAAAAAAGAGAGAAGGTTGAATAATTGGACGCATTAGCGACAAGGTCGTAGGCACGTAAATTCTCTCAAATTAATATCGCACGGAGAATGCAGTGACAACAATGACGTCACTGCGGCGAGAAACTTGGACGTAACACACGCTGGATAAAAGCCACGAGAGCTTGATGGGATAAATATTTCTATTCGTCACTATTCAGCCGGCAACTTCTGACACTGTTTTCTTCGCTATTTATGTGCGGTATGCTGTATCGTTCAGGATAAATGATTAATGGTTGATTGTTCATTAATTCAACGAAATTCAGAATAGAAAAGTATAAATAATTAAAAGTAAATTTCCATTGTTTCCAGACTTCACCGAACGGGAATTCCAGATGTTCCAATGGATCTGTATAATATCGAACAAATTATTAGTCGAGTACATTGATAAGATAGAACAACATTTATCGACCATTGTAGTCACTCACATAGACGAGACAGATAAGAGGCATGTCAGAATTATTCCACCGATACACACCTGATACTGGCGACTGTGAATCTACAAGCCTATCTCGTCGATAAACGAAGCTTTTCGATAAAGTAAAAAAGAAAGAACGAAAGAGCGAAGAAGAAAAAAAAAACATACATTTCTCGTTTCTCAAACTTCGTCTTGTTTTGGAAACGCGACCGAGAGAAACGCATAAAACGAAAATGTTACGAGCCTGTGTGATGAAATTCGAATTTACAAGAAGCGTTACACGTTGCGTCATTATGACAATAATATCTATGTTTTACCGAGCGATAAAAATATATACGTCTTTTCACTTCGCACGCATCCAATTGCAGCACCGACATAAATCATCATCAATCGATTAACCCTTTCATCATGAAGGCGGAACAATAATAGCGGCACGCTATCGGCGGAATTACGATATCAGGTTCATTTATTATCCAATCTCCGTGCCAGGATAAAAATAACGATTGACCGGCCGAATAGAGGCAATGCGTTTACCTCGAGCAAGCTTCAATTACTTTGTATTGTTAATTGTACAAAGTTCACTCGTGTAAATCTGCCGGCGATGTCTGCTTTTCTTTCTTTTCTATATCGATTTATCGGTAACCTCGTAATTTTCTGTCGCTTCTTTTTCAGCGACCCGCACAGCACCACCGAGCATCGTGTACGAAACGACTGTTTGAACAGTCTTGGAAAGTTTGGAACTTTTTCACACGTGGCTCATTTAAGGGGCAAAGGTGCCACTCGATCCGCACGACAGATCGTTGCGAAATGCTGTGTACAAAATCAGATAACCGGGCGTGTTGCGCGATAACACGAACAGGAGAGGCCCGTCGAAGCAGGCTCGTTCAAATTATAATATCGCGGTGAATTGAAAATCAGCATTCCACAATAATCCTACAATTCACTCTTAACATATCCAAAGTAAACATACTTCTTTTTTTTTCTCTTCTTCCTCTCGCTATCTTTTTTTAACGCGACGTTAATATGCAACGATACTTTCTCTCTCTTTTTCGACAGAAGTGTGATAATAATTTAATTACAGATAAACAGCCTATGAATATTTATTTATATCCGTGGAGCAGAGAGGCTAGCCGTCTGGCCGATTCGTCGTTAAAAATATACACTTAGCCTCGTTGATTACACACGCTGCACACCCAGCCAGTTCGCGGAGGCTCGATGATATCGATTGTTTTCACCGCGAAAAATGTGAAACGCCGTTCTCCGTGTAAAAATGAATAAATACGAAGGATAGAAAGAAAAAGAAATACGGATAAACCGTTCTCATATCCTAAATCTCGACAAAATCCTAACTAATTCTAGACTAATCTGATCGCACGAATTGTGTTTCAGGGAGAGACTCGGTAATCCTCGATGAATGATTCGTCAAATTGAACATTTCTAACTGGCGAAACGACGCGAAGCCATCTCTGGTTACGAGTATTCGAGACTTCCAATTAAAAACGTTCCGAAGGAAGTCGTGAAAGGATCACGCGTTAAAGGGAAAACGGAAATTGCGACGGACAGTGTATATAAGCTTGGAACCGAGGCCGAGACTTAATTGCGATGTTGTCGTTTAGTTCTACGGCCTCTTCTTCATTAATTCAATTGTCCGTTATCAGAGACGGAATGCCAGCGGCAAACGGCATTTGTCCGGTTGCCGAGTGCTCGAAATACAACTGGAATCTGCGCTGCCCTAGTAATCTCCCAGGGGAGCCGATTGCGAGAGAGGACTCTTCTCTCTGTTATACACGCGTTCAACCGCGGGTTCTTGCAAAACGAGAAATTGTAATCAGGGGACATGTTACACTCCAGTCAAGATACTTCTTCTGACATCATGGGATAAAGTTCGGGATCATACTCCCGGGGTCCTCTCTTCCACACTCACGAGTTTTCCAAACTTTTTTAATGGAATCTTCCTAATCTGTAGAGATATAAATAATAAGTGTTCGCTGGTGGATGGAGAAAGTGAATAATAAATAAGGTAGAAAACGGTAGTGATTTATCATGTTGATTCGGGTAGAGTACTTCTCAAGTGGTACCCTTACTTTTTTTCCATAACAAGCAAGTTGCTCGATGATTCGATGACGAATCTTAACGAGGATTTACGGTTTAATAAGCCTCTGCCAGAGTTTGTAGATAAGCCTCGATCGTTTGAATACATTAATAACTTCCTCTAGATGAATATCTAAGTGTGTACAACTACTGTGGTTCTTCTTTTAACTATGCATTATATTAACGATATAAATTAACGTATCATTCTGTATATCGTTAACCCTTGCTCCCGGGTGTAACACGCTTGTGTTAATGTATTATTAGAAATACTAGGGGAACAACAAGAGGATTCAATAGGTTTTATTAAACAATTTTCTCAGATATTTAGAAATCGACCTATGAGATCAACTCTTTTATTGCGAAAAGCGAACACCGTGCAATTTTCGCTGAGTACGACAAATTTATTATCACTGAAACGATACAATATCGCCCGTATTGTTATATTGCGTACAATAACTGTCGAAATAACCGAGTACCACGAATCGTTCTGATTGTCGTAAGCATTTTTCGCGGTGAATAATAATTCATGTAAAACATACGTACAATATAAAATATTACGGTATCAAAATTTTGAATGAAAATTATTAGTTAATTTTTCAATTTTAGAGCAACGAACGTGTTGAAGAGTGCAGCAGTTAAAGGGTTAACTGCACGTGACCTAGAAATGAAAGGAAAAACCGAGGGAAAAGAGAAACTCACCTGTAGGCGAGGGACATGCACTGGAACAGCTTGTTCAAGGAGGTCTCGATGCTGAGCTGCTGGGAGGTTTTGTCGTTGACCGAGCATGTGACGAATTTCTTGTACGACAGTCCAGTTGTAGCGATGATCGCTAACTTGGCAGCCTCCTCATCGGGCACGGGGACAGCTAGCTCGTCCTCGTCATCCTGAGCCTCCGCCTCGAAGTCGGAGACCATGAAATGACCGGAGTGGATAGTCTCCCGGGAATCCCGGCCGCCGTTTTCCTTCTTTCCCATTCCGGGATGGTGAAAAGTCTGGCCGGACGTCGTCGTCATCATAAACGGCTTTCTGTACATCAGTTCGGCCTGCATCCCTCTTTGGCTGCACTCTGCGGAGCACAGTCGCGTCGATACGTACTCCCACACACAGACACACCTCTTTCTTTTCTCTTTTGATTTCGATCGTCGCGTAGCTTTTAACGTGAAACCGAATTTTCAATTGGCTCGATTCTCGATTGTCCGTGAAATTCGTTCGATACTTTATATGTTCGGTAATGTGAGAAGTTGAGAAAATTTGTTTCTATAGTAGAACGCGGTCTTGTCTAAGAAACTTTGATCGTATTTAGAAAGGAAAGTATAAACAAACGATCGTGGATTTTTTTTCGAAAGTTTGGATTGTCAATCAGGTAGAAAGTAATCACATGCTTTACACGACCACGTAGAACCGTTCGTAAATTGTACAACGAGGTCGCTAAAACGGAATTTAGTGGTATTAGTCGACCTCGTTTCGCGAAAATGCTAAGTAGCAAAGTCTACACGTTCTGTTCTGATAGGACGAGTCCTTTCCGCCAGACACAACAAATGTCGTTATCGAACGGCTGATAAGCATACAATCCTCTGTTCAGTGATTTCCCTTAATTAATGTGAACTCCGTTTCCGCTAGACTTCCCTTTCTGTATTGTGAATCCTGTCTAATATCTTTATACGCACGTGGCTTTTTTACCGCTCAAATTTTCGAATTTTTTGATCTTTAAATATTCAAATTTTCAAGTATTCAAATATTCAAATTTTTCTAAAATCATACAACGATGTCGCTTTCAAGCGCAACGAAAGGGACAGCACTCGTCGTGGGACATTTCCTACGCCGACGCGCGAATTAAATACATGTAAACAACCTTTGTGCTCGGTTGAACGACCGAGGTTCGTTAAAATCGTCGCTTCGCCCGGTCCGTTTCCATGAAAGTGCGGTTATGCACCAGAATGGTCAGTGACTTCTTGGGAAGAACCGCGAACACGCGCTGTCTAAAATTAAACGCGACGCATATTCTGCAATCGATTCGTTCCACGCGGAAAGGTTAATCATTTTTCCGCTATCCGCGAGAAAATTAAGTTTCACGTTCGAATGAGAAAAAAAAACAAAACTTATAATCAGTTTGTACGTCTTTCCGGAGAATTTATTACATAGAAGTACGTTAACTTTTTGATTTCTCGTTTTACGCGCTAGTTTTCTCTATGGCGACAACCGATGAACGTTAGAAAGTTTCAGAAGTTGGTCTTCAATGACAGAATTAATTAACATGCCAAGTGATAATGTGGAAAACGGACGCATGTAGTTACACGTGTTGCAAAGAAATAAGGCAGACGTAATGTGTACGAAAATAAACCTACTTTCCCAATTGCATTCTTTCCTCTATGTGATTTGTGGTTAAGATTTGAATGGTGGTTCGTTCAAATAGGGTATGTCGATATGAAAATCTAAGCACAGTTAGAAACTGTAAACTTTATTATCGACTCGTAACAGTCGTAGTTTTTTTTTTTTTGAAATGAGTAGTCTCGTAAAAGGTAAACTTTGACGCGTGTTCAATGGTTCGTCGATTTTAATATGCAGCACATGTTATATATTTCTAATAAAAGTACGCAGAAACCTTCGGCGAGATACATGTTACGAAAACGTATAACGGAAATCGAAGTCCACTCTAATAAGCATTGAACAGTTGGTATCGTAAATTATAGGTTAATCCGTTATAACCGGTTTTCGGGGATAGAAGAATTTTTTGTATGTTATCGACCAAGCATTAATAACTGGCGATATTTCCTTAGAAATACATTGAAATTTACAAACATTATTCATCGTTACGGATACGATTGACGCGATTGTAGTTCCAGCTACTCGATTGCAAAATGTATATACTTACTCAATTTTTGTAGAGAAGAAATAGCAAAAACGACGGATGAAAAAGTCTCGAAGTCAACTTAACGATGATCGCGATTTTACTAACATCATTCACTGAACCGTGTATTTTTTCGTAATGTTACGCAAGCACTTTTATCGAAATGGATTTCCTTTGCACCAATTTTATTTAATAAATGATCTTAATATTCCACGACATTGTTATCTTAAAAGTGTTAATGCCCTTTCACCCCGGAGTCACTGCGTATCGGTGAGGTTAACCGCCTTATCCGTGTCGTACACGAAGGTTTTTTCCTTTCCTCGTGGTTTTAAAAATGCTGTTATATTTATAGAAAACGAAATGTTAAGCTTAGCTACACAGCTAGTCAAATTTTCATACAACGAAAACGTAGTCTGCGGATGTAGACTCTATCGATAATCTATCTCTATCGATAAATTAGAAGAGTGGAAAATGCACGATCGAACAAGAGGATAACAGATCGCGTCGTGACGTAAGCGTAAAATACCACGCGTGATCTATCAGATGTGCTATTATAAATTTATTTCCTTCATTTGCCTTTTCTTTCCATTAAATTCAAAATTTTGTTGAAAATAGGATGCTTGTGCAACTGAGTCTTTTTAGTATTCTAATTTTTTTCGGTCACGGGCTGACAGTATCGAAGATAGAAACAGGACTCGAGTTTTTATAAGACGTTAGAACTCTTTTCAGATGGGCACACCTCGATCTCTTATGCAATCCTTGGTCGTATTTAGGAACTCGTCGCGGCGCAAACAAAAACATTCTGTTTCGCCCACACGTGCGCCTGGCCACGAGAAACGTGTTTTTTAGATGGGAAAAACATGGCCGTCCTGATTATGCGATAACAACGACATATTCAAATAGCCTGTCAGAGCAGTAACATTACAAAAATTTCCATGAAAGGCGATAAGAAAATTTCTAATCATTGTAACAGATAAATAGAATCTATTCACGATTGCACAGACGCACCATTAAGTGACGAAATAGTAAAGCGTACTAGATACACGGGATTCAGTAGATTCAAACAATAGAAAATTCTTAATAGTTCATCTACGTGAGAATATACACAGAACAATATGTCTTTTTAAAGCATCGCGATAGATTTGGCAATGGTATACGCATGGCACCTGTCACGACGGAGTATGGGTCTAAACTCACAAAGGAAACTACTACGCGTACGTACGTTTTTCCATCTTCCGTTTATCCTATTCATCTATCTCGCTTTAAAAGACGCTTAGAAATCGGCCCTGATGCTTTTTCTCTGTCTTATTGTCGTAGAGATTGTATCGCGCGCTTGTTTTTCCGTTAAAACGATACAGGCAAAAGACCGCAAAATATAGATTTGTCGATCGTTTGGGATAAAATCGCGAACGATCGAGAAAGCGTCCGAAGGATATGCTACACGACCAGATGCATTCATTTCGTAAATTACTATCACGTATGCATAACACGACACTTCTTGCAAGGATCACAGTTCTCCTTGTCGACGTTTTTTTTTTCTATCTGGCACTCACCTCTCTTTTTCACTGCGTGTCACCACTCGTCGTTGATACGTACACAACCGTTGCAATTCGACGACGAGATTTAACGATCCCCTTATATTAATTTTTTCTTCGATCTTGACCGATATTGTCACACTCACACTCGCCGTCAGGCTGGGCCGCGCGGCGCCGCGCCCGGACGAGGTCCGTACGCGTTATTAGACAGCATACGCTCGCTCATACTGGCAGTGACGCCATTTGCACGAATCCGCGTCTACGACGGACGACTCGCGACTCTGAGCTATACAGCTGACATGGGCGCGCTTACTTTGACCAATCGGAAAATGGCTTTGAGCTTAGCGCTGTCTATCGGTACATGAAAGAACATACCGGTGTTCTGGATTGCATTTCCGCTTCTTTTTTTAAAATGCCAATGTCTTTTTTTAGCGTTGTTTTCAACGTATATATTTTGCATTTTAATTTTCGAATTGTTAGATAGCGAATATGAATGTATAATATGCATAGCAACGAGAACAAAGGCTTCAAAGTAGGAAGAAAGTACGTCGCTAATATATCAATTCATATCGTTAAAGTCCTTTCTTTTGTAAGTTTTGTTAAATTTTCAATTACAATTAATGATATACATGTTTTTTAAGTATGAACGTTTAATACGTATATTGTTAAAAGTATAATGTAAATGCTTCCACAATATTAATTCTTTGATGTGCGAAAGCATAAGTCGATAATGCTGCACATAATGTCCATGTGCTCGCTTGAAGTGGGTACAATATGAATCACGAAACAGTCTAAAGGTTAATCTTTGTATGTACGTTGTAATATATTCAACATCGTTTTGTCCCTTTGCAGTATTTTAAGAGTTGATGATCATCATATACGGGTATATAAAAGCATGGAAGAACAATCAGTAAAATGTTGTCGCGTTGTATGGTGGTTATTTAAATTATTTGGTTTACCAATTACTATTCCATGGTTTATATATCATTGTTTTGATATTATAAAATACAAAAGAAGAAAAAGTACACTGAATGGGAAGGTAAATTGTACTTTACTTCGAAATTTGTCTTGTGAATTTGAAAAATGTTTACTCTATATTTAAATTCGAATTGTAGGTTGTAATAATAACTGGAGCCAGCTCTGGTTTAGGAGAAGCACTAGCTCATGTTTTCTATGAATGTGGTTGCAAAGTTATTTTGATTTCTAGAAGAAAGGAGGAACTGCAAAGAGTGAAAAATACTTTAGTGAATACTCATGCTGTAAGTTTAAATATATTAACAAAACTTTTCTCTATCTTCATTAATGGTCATTTAAATTAATTTTAGACAGTACCAACTTATCCTCCTGTAATTTTGCCATTGGATATAACTAATATTAATTCTCTATCAGCTGAAGTTACAAAAATTATAGAAATTCATGGAAAAATTGATATTCTGATTAATAATGCTGGTATTTCCTATAGAGGAGAAGTTCTTAATACTAATGTGGATGTGGATATAAAAGTAATGCTTACAAATTATTTTGCTCAAATTGCTTTAGCAAAAGGTAATTATATGATAAAATTAAATAAAATGTATTCACTTGTTATTAAAAAATGTATGATGTTACAGCTGTTCTTCCATACATGATAAAGGAACAGTCAGGTCATATAGTATGTGTAAGCAGTGTACAAGGAAAGATTGCAATTCCATACAGGTTGGAACATGTTCCATTTGGGTTTTATATGGTTCACTTGTCAAAATATTTCTTATAGCTATTATAATTATTGTTAGGTCTGCATATTCAGCTTCTAAACATGCATTACAAGCATGGTGTGACAGTTGCAGAGCAGAATTAGCTGATCAAAATATAAAAATTACAATTGCTAGTCCTGGTTATGTAAGAACTGCTCTTTCTCTCAATGCATTAACAGGGACTGGACAAGTTTATGGAGGTCAGTAATTAAAAAATTTAATTTTATTAAAAAATAATTGTTTATATAAAATAACTGCTGTTACAGTTATGGACAAGAATACACAAGAGGGCTATTCTCCAGAATATGTTGCACAATGTATTTTGAAAGCAGTGTTAAAGCAGGAAAGAGATGTATTAATATCTCCCTATTCTCCAAAAGTTGCAATATATTTACGAACTTTATGTCCATCACTTTATTTTTGGATAATGCAAAAAAGAGCTAAAAAAACAGCAAAGGAAGAATAATATTTATTACATAATTATAGTACATAGAGTCTGCTGTAATATAATTCTTTTATACATTTTATTTATACAGACGATTTTGTTTTCGTATGCTTATTTGTATAAATTCTCGTTATTATTACATTGTAAATAGAGTAAAATATAAATTGCAATAAATTATATTCTATAGTAAGTGAATGAATAGTAATGGTAGATTTGAGACACATTAGTTTTGCAAGTAAAATGATTTTCGGAAAAGGCAGTAAATAAAGATATATCCAAACTATATTTTATTATTATGCCACTTATCAGTGGAATATGTTTACATTATATACACTTTAATACTACAATCGTCTTAACGGAATTAAGGCAGAAGCACATACAAATACATGTGTCATCTAAAACTTAAAAAATTATGGGATATATTATAGTTTAATAGTAAGTAGTTACTGAAATTTTTTTCTGAAAGTATAGAAAGTAAAAGCATTTGTATTAATATCAAGTAAAAAAATAAATGCTCGAAAATGCGGAAGTGTTGCACAAGAAATGCATAAGACTTTTTAAGTTATAAATGACACAGAACAATAAATTTATCTAATAAACTATTCATCAAAAGTATAGCTTTATCGATAGTTGATATTTTATTGCATATCCTCTCATCATTACAACTATATAATCACTGTTGTATCATGACAAATATTTGGCTGATAATTGAGTCATTTAAAATATGATATATAATGTACAATGATTGATACGAACTTTGCTGTCATGGCAGGATTATTAACACTTACTTAAACTTTCGTTATTTATAGTGGTTTTGTATTTTTTAATTTAATTTTTTATATTACTATTACTATATAAACTAATTGATATTAATCTAATTAAAAAAATTGCACAAACACACACTTTTCACGCGAAGATACTGAAGTATGTGTTTGTATAGTGCATAAAATACAGATAATATATAATTATGATATAGATAAATTTGATTTTGAATTTATTCGTAAAAAACATGCAAAGACAGATAAACTCTTACATTCTACATAAAATATTTCGAACTGTTGACTGCATTTTCTTCCACTCTTACTTTATAATATAGACTTTCTTAACATCAAAACTAAGTAGATAAATGTTAGGAAACACACACTGGTTTAAGTAAATTTTATATTTTTACGTATTAAAAAAAAGTATACAGTACTTGGTTTTTTTTTTAAAGTAGTTTATATGTGTGAAGTACATAACAATTGTTATGTCTGCTGTATAATTACACACTAATAATTGAAAAAGATGTTGCTTAGTTTTCATGTTTTAATCATATATACAAGTAGATGTAAGAATTTCTTGATTTATTACTGAACTGAAAATTCTTCCAGAAATTTTTTGCGCTGGATTGCATAATATTTATTATCGTTATTCACTTATAGGAATGTTTATGTCGTTTATTTTTGATATCATATGTGTTCGTATATTGGATGATAAGTCTTATATAATCAACAAAAATTGTTATATATTATGCTAATTAAAATGTTTGCCAAATAATAAGATTAAAGTAATAAATGCTCAAAAATGTTTTTTTTTATAAATATTCTTTTTTCATAATGGGCCAACCATTGGATGAGAAAATCTAGGCAACATTCTCTTTGCCATATCATATGCAGTGTATTCTATCTACTTTATTTACAATCTAAAAATATATAATTCTAGATCCAACTTCCCAGGTGTAAGGTTGTAATTTTGCATAACTCTAAGAACACTTATATTGGTAGTTGTTTCACTTAAGTGGTTGTGTGAATATGACCGTGTCTTTTTTGCGTTAATATTAACTGTGATATAATCAACAAGATGGAGATCATAGAGTAACAATGTGGAGCCTTAAGAAACATCGTGCGTTACAGTAAAAATGTTCTTAGAAAAGGCTGTTCTTAGTTTGTTTTGTTATGTATATCCTCTTTTATTGTAAAATCAGCATCCACCTGTGAGGTAGTGTCAAAACATAAAAGAAATATAAACATCAAACAAAAACAGATTCGTGTGACTCAACAATCCCCATTAATATACATGAAATTGTAATTCACAGATTTCTATACTAGGCCTTATTACGATCATATACAATACATCGTATGGCCTACCTTACTGCTTTTTACAACTTAGATTCTTTCTTTCTGGAGAGTAAACATTTCACTTAAATGCCTGATAAACTCTCCAGGCACTGATGCTGAATGCTACCAATGTAATAGTTGTATGAAGAATTCTTCTCCTCGTATCATCTTTTCTCACAAGAAATGTTGGAGATGATGTTCCTAATGCAGCTAAGTATTCTAGATGCGGTAGTTTACTTGTGTCTGTCTCAACTTGATATTGGCAACAGGGATCAAATTGCCAAGAAACAGTATAAAGTCCACAAGATATTACAGATATGAAACCTAGTGGACCACAAATATAGGGCCGGTCACCCCAAATCAGACCTGTAACATATTTTGAATAAATCACTGTGATTAAAGATATGGAACATAACATATAAGTTTAAAAAACCTGTGGTTATGGCAGCCAGACCAGACAGTGCTGCAGTCTTATGAAGACAATTTCCTACTGCTATCCATCTGGAGGTTTCATCACCAAGTTTAGATGGTTCAATAGCAATTAAGCTGCATTCAGATTCTAATGCTCTTTCTAATTCATATTCAAATGTTTCATGTGCATTTTCATTATCGTACACCTCCTTGATGATGGCGACACTTGAGGAATCATCCCTGTAAGAAATTCATATTTAATTATCAAATAAATATCTCATATAATTTATATAAATTATAATTGTAAAAGCATCAATATATACACATAATTAATGCTATCTTTCTTAAACAAATAGTATTATTTGAATTATTTAAATATGTTCAAATTATGAGTATTCCATAAAATCTACAATATACTTTTATATATCATTAAAATCAAATTAAATGATCTCTATCATAAATTAATACTTTTGTGTGTTATGTAAGATGTTGATTGGAGCTAATCAGTGTCTGATTTGTTTGAATACAAACACATTTGTAAAAGTGGCAACATTTGATTTTTGATATTAAATATTTAAATAACATTTTACTACGTTCTAGCGAATTTTGATAAATAAATATGCATTTTGACGATTGAGAAATCTTCCCGAAATTGACAGGAGAAGTGAAAAATCTATGAAAGGGACAAACATAACATAAAAAAATAATTGATTTCCGTTATGGAAATATTTTCAATCTCGCTTTGAAATGGACAGTTACGAGATTGTCAAATATTCATGGACATCTAGCAGAGATTATGAAAGATTAATCTCTTGAATTCTATAGAAGAGATGCTAGGTTAATTTTATTTCAAAGAAAATATTATACCATTGTATTAAATTATGTCGTATATATGGGTGTTAGACAAAAGTATTAGATTTTGTACAGAAAACCGCAAATAATTTAGCCTACGAACCTGTCACCAGCTTCATCTACCATCTTTACAGTCAGTCTTCCAAACACTGGAACGTTGGTCTGGATGAACCGGAAAAGAAATCTCGAACACCGAACCGGATGCAAAAATCAGCTGATTCTCTTTAAGCATTCGTATGACTCAAGTTGTAGTTTGCGTTTTGAGTTTATTCGAACGTATTACTTTGCAAAATGTAAAATCTTCTTTAGTCGTTTTTTGCAATATTTCGTTACGGTTAAGAGGAAGAAGAGCATTCTATTCGCATCATCTATCATAAAGGATATTATAATTTAACGATAAAATTATAAGAACAATATTTATTCCATTATTTTACATTTATAAACAAAATTTATAATATAAATATAAATAATAAATCTACAATTACATTTATTCTTAAGATGAACAAATTTTAATCTTCAACTTGCTACAATTTAAAATATTCCTTTAGCCCTGTTTGTTTAAATAATCGATACGAAGTATTGTTTACATTGCAATATTTCGTACAATCATATTTAGTTTTGATGTGTTGTAACGTAACGTTCATTCGAAACATGCGCTCTTCTAAAAAGAGCTCAAGGAACTATTTGCCGCTTATTTCAAATATCAAAAATTCAGTAAAGTTACAGCCCAAACAAATATCATTATTTATTCTTTTATTTGCACAAAATTAATTTTCATCTCTACATAAAATTAAACCGTTAAAAAATTGAAACAGTATAAAGAAAACAAACATAAGATCATTGCTTCACGACGACGTAAAAAGTCAGATAAAAGAGAAACGCAAAATTCTTCGTTGAAATTCTTACGCCGAGGCGCTGTATTCCAGTGGCCAATGTGGGGACTAGATTCGCGCTGGCGTAGTGTCAGGCTCGAGAGAGTGTGCTGCGGTCGATCGAGCGAGAGTAAGCGCTGCCGACGGCATACAGGCCGAGTTAAACGGGCCAGATCGCAGATGGACGTCCGCGGGAGCGTTCTGTCATGGAGAGCACAACGCGATGTGCCGTAAGTGTGCTCAAGTGTCGTCATCGTCGTGGCCGTTGTCGTAGTCGTCGCGTGTGCAGTATTACGGGTCGTGTCGCAGGATCATCACAGTGACACTCGACAAATATAGGCGAGCGTAAGGATCGTGGTGCTCGTGGTGCTACCATCGGTACATGTATATCGTGAACTGTGCCAGCCGAATAATTACATTGCGGCCACGTCTTCTGTATATCCAAGGCGGGTTCACAGCGTCCGAAAGCAGTGGTCTTCCGCCGATCGACCAATCGTACACGCACGTGCGTTCGACGTTCGATTCGTCCGAGCAATCGATAGAGATCGGTGAACGGTGCTGTGACATGTTAACAACGGTGCATGCCAGTGTGTCTATTAATAGATTCGTGTGATTCGGTGTGCCGCGGCTAATCCACGTGCTCAGTCGTGAACGATACGGTTTCCTGGAAAGATTGTCAACAAGCGACTCGTACCGTAGGGTCAAACGTGTGAACACCTGCCATTTATCGGACGAACGTTTCTCGGAATCGTAGTCAATGTCGACAACAATGTTGTACCCGTGCGTGCTCCCGCGTGTGGCATAAACGCATTGTAAACAGACGCGCGCCCGGCTCGCATGTAAACAACGAGTAGAAAAAACGTATTGGTGTTTCTTTCCTACTTCGACCGACCATCAAAAACCTACGTAGTACTATTCCATACATCGACGCCGGTCGGGACAGAATTTTATTCTCATGGTATACCAGTGACGCTTCGATATAATATCGATTCTCGATCTTGTTACGAGATTAAGGGGTTCACGGTGCAATCGAAATATCGACTCTCCATTACGTCAGACAGAAGCGAAGGCATTTATCGTTGGAAGGATTGCTCGATAAGCGTGATCCTCGCGCGCGAAACGAGAATACGAAATCCTGTTAACTCGATCCGTTAACGTAACGGACACACGGCACGGAGAGTGGCCGCGGGGACTCGTGTCGTCGGTGGTGTGTGGCTTGTCCGCGCGTGAACGAAATCGCGCGTAAATAAAACTGTCGTTCGATCGGAAGCAACGAGGTACATATATTTTACACGGTGTGTCGCGTCGTTACCGGTCGCGGCGTAGAATCGGTGCGTTAAGCGAGAATCTCGTTCTCGCTGGGCTGTCGAACGAAAGGGGTGGCCGAGAGTAAGAGTAAAGGGAGCGTGAGACGCGAAACGATGGTGCTGTCCGGTCGTCGCGGTTAATTCGCACGTGTCGCGATGTCGGGCGGCACGGCGGGCGTCCGTGGCACCGGCGCCGAGTGCAGGAAGTTCGCGCCGAACATATTCAACAAGAGCAAGTGCAGCAGCTGCTTCAAGCAGAAGGAGGAGCACAGCGCGGAGGCTCTGGAATGCAACAGGGTGAGTTTTGCTTGATGGACTCTCTGTCTCTCTCTCTCTTTCATCCTTCTTCAGTGCGTCTCGCTTGCTCACGCGTTTCTTCTCTCTCTCTCTCTCTTTTTCTTTCTCTCTATCGTTCGTTCGTGTCTCTTCGTCTCGCGTTCGTTGCGTATCTGTCTCCGTCTCGGTTCGTCTCACGCGTGCGTACTTGGTCGATCGCGAGAGCCGGCATTTTCTCTTTCTTGCTCGCCCTCGAATTCCTTGCCGCGAGATCGGGACCGGCCAGAAGGACGAAGGTCCTATCCAGACGTCGATGTTATGTAAGATGAGCGCGCACGTTGAACGCGATTAGTGAACGCGGACGAAGCAGACGAAACAAACGCTTTTCAACGCAACTCTCTTTCTAATCCTTTATCGCCATTGGATGTCAACGCGATATTTAATTATCTCATAATTGGCGTCTGTTGTTTATTATTAAAATCGAAGCGAGAGCAAGCTATACATCGAAATACGTACATACTTCCTACTCGATGTAAAAACACACGCAGGATGTTCTATTTAATCGCCGAATTAAAATGAAATTGAACGCAAGGGGGGGAATTGAAGGTTGACGAAGACGTATGGTAAAAAATTGCTACTTGCGGAGGCGTCGAGGACATTTCAAGGTCAATATTGATCAATCAGTAAGCTCTTTCAGAGTGTATCTTTCCAAACAGAGCGAAGGTTAACCGTTTCAAGATCATTTCCTCGAGTGTGATAGATCGTCGAAGGGAAAGAAAGAAAAGGAGGAATAAACGAAAAACAAAATGGTCGACCTTGAAGCGTCATTGCTTCGTTCCAACAATAACACGTTAGAAACCGACCGTTCTCGTGTCTTTTGCTTGAAATTTTTTCTCTCTCCACCGATTCACGTGTACCATCTCTCCTCGTCCTCGATTGAATCGTAATGGTAATTTACAAACACGTACGCGTGAAAAAGTAGCGTCGCCACGGGGCGACCGCGTGGACATAAAATACACGGAGCGGGGCGTAAGTTAGGGCTGCGTTAAAAGAAGAGGAACAGGAATCTTTATAGTACGGTTTTCTTCCTTCTGACCGTGGTTTTTATTTACAACAGGGCCCTGGCGCGTTGCTCGTCGTCGATGAGCAAAATTGCCTCGTAAAAGGCCGGGGCCCGGAATGGTTTGAGTAGGGGTTGAACGGCGCAAAATAAAAGCGTTAAAAATCAATTCACGCTGAAGTATCGTACGGTACCGTCGAATGGCGGCGCCGGAATTGCAGGCGTGCGCGCTCGCGCTCGCGCGTATATGTTAAGTGTCCGCCGCACAGTTAAGCGTCCACGCACTTAAGCGTCCACACACTTAAGCGTCCGCCGCACAGTTAAGCGTCCACGCATTTAAGCGTCCACACACTTAAGCGTCCGCCGCACAGTTAAGCGTCCACGCACTTAAGCGTCCACACACTTAAGCGTCCGCCGCACAGTTATGCGTCCACACACTTAAGTGTCCACTTAATATCGCGAAACGGTTCTCCGTTTAAAGTCCGCTCGGGTCGTCGATAAGGCAGCACCACGATTATTGTACCTCTTTGTTTCGTCTTCGAGTTTCTCGGGGATTCCTTCGCAGATTATCCATGTTTTCTCTCTCTCTCTCTCTCTCTCTCTCTCTCTCTCTCTGTCTCGCGTGTTGTTCCCGTTCGTTCGCGTACGTTGAAATCAATTCGTCGGAGAAGTATAAAAAAAAAAGGGAAGAAAAGAAAAGAGGGAAAAGAACGCGAGAGTTGAAATAGGTTAGACACGTTTTTGCGGTCGCGAGAACGAAGAATGAATGAAGAGAGCCGAGTTTCTGGTTTCTGCTAATGACGCCGGGGAAAATTGCACCGCGGAGCGGCGATCATTGATTTCGCATCGCGATGGGAAACGCGTGTTAACCTCTGTATCAATGCCTCGGGAATTATTCGTTTCGTACGTGTTGCACAGCGGTTTCTATGGTTCGTGGAAAATTGCGTGCTCCGCGAATTCTAAGTATCGATTTTATTCGGTAATGAAGCTTCGTAGAAACGATGCTACTTTTTTTTTTTTTTTTTTTCGTATGAATTCACTGTTTCTCGAGTTGTATCGTCGTTTTGAAGGCATTCTGTGCACGATTCGTATCTTCAGGTACTTTCCTTTAATTATCGATCAAAATGACCAGAAATACGCATACGTTGGTTTTCTTGTTTTGCAAAATCATTTCGAAAGATGCAGAGTGGTGGAAGGGGTAAAAATATACAATTTTATAATGTATACAATATGTAGTATGTTGCACATACGGTAGTTTTATTTATTGCGTGTGTTTTACAATTGTTTTTTTTTTTTTTTTTTTTTTTTACAAATTTGCAAAGATTGCAAATTTATATTAATGGTAAACTTCTATACACAATACTGTTTATAAAATTGCGTTCTTTCGAAAGTGTCCCTACTCACTGTTTATATCGAAACGTTAAAAACACGAAGAAAAAAGATTAAGAACCGGTCATTCGTAATTAAGAAAATAGTCGCAACCAAACAGCAACCAGCGATCTTCCGTACGAATGCAGAAAACATGAAACAAACTCCTCTCACAGGACCATTTAAAAAACACAGTCAAATTCGTAAAATACACAACCTGTGTATTTTAACCTAGTTAACAACTCCATTAATCTAGTAAATTAAAAAAAAAAAAAGAAGATCCACAAGCGAGACAGTGTTTGCTTGAAAATGACCTGGCTCGAATCAGCCAGGGTGAAACAGCCCCCGAAAAAGAGGGTGTTTCTGAAAGTTCGCGTCTATCTACCCAGGTTCACAGGTTTCCTCCACGGTTTAGAGGAACCGACTCGTTTTTCCCCCCTCATCCCACGGATCTGGCCAGGGCAATTTCGTACACGGCACAATGGGACACGTTCCCCGCGCCGAGGCCGTTGCAAATTTCGGAATGTCGGCAGCCTTGCGACCTGTTCTCGGTGCATTCCAGCCGTCTTCCCTGGCGGCACCCCGACACAACAGGCCCTTTCGAGAGTTGTTGGCTTGTCGGCTTTCGCCTCCTATAGCCAGGCTATCTCTGTATCGGTTTATTCTCTCTCTCCCTCTCTCTTACACACCTCCTCCTCCTCCTCGCTGTTGTCCCCCCGTATAACCGCAAATAACGAATGCATACGCAATCTCTGCAACCTTTCTTTGCTCTCTCTTCTCCCCCTTTTGGTCGCACGGCTCTTCGTCTCGCGGCTCGTAATTTGACGAGGAGAGCCTCAGAATCGAAGGAATCTGACCTTTTTCAAGCGTTTCTCGCTGGCGGGCCGACGCACACTTTCTGAGAGTCATGGGTATCGCGGAAGTGGCCACCATCGTTGCGTGGATTGCCGCGTAACGCGTGTTGCACGTCCATTTCGTCGATTCTTAAAGGTTACCATTTGTGAACGAGGGATAGAATATTGGCAAACGTTGCGAAACACACGTATGCACACTTAACGACTGTGTACTTGAGGTCTTTCCGTCAAAAGACACCCAAAGATTTTATGCGTAGCAAGTTGTTGTACCAGCGAAAGTTACTGTAAAAAAATGAGAATGCAGTGGGTCGAAGAAGACCCGAGGATCGGATACTTCACTTCAGAAATACTGAAAAAAAAAAATGTTTCTATAGAGATCCAATTATTATCTCGATATAAGTGGCTCGTTTGAAAGGGTTAATTGGGCCGTCCCTCGATCCACTTCATTGTCAATCTCAATTCCTCGCGTTCCAACGTGTCATCTGCAGAGTGACATTGTAACTTTATCAAAGCCCTTGGGCGTCACGGTTCCCCTACTATCGTCAATACCCCTTCACGTTTAATTACATCGTGGCGAACAATAAACAACAAAGATCCCATTCAAGCGTTCCTGCGGAATCGAATTATTTCTGTCGTTGAACCTCAGCCCACGAACGATACAGGAGAAATCCTCTCTTCTCGCGATCTGTATGCGTGCGCAAGCAAAGAGAATCACGGAGCAATTTTTTTCTTCATCGAGACGCGAAACGAAATGGAACGATCGCGGGTAACGGAGAACCGCGCGCGGTTTAATTATGATTTTTCGCGCGCGGCTTCAGCGTTCGATTCGCGCTTTAATTCCTGTAATCAACGGGGGGGCTTCCCGTTCGAGCAGCCGTTCCGGGTCCTCTGTAAACGTGAGAAAGTGATCCCTGGTAGATCGAACGGGCGAACAGAGCGGACGAGATCGATAGAGAGGATCGCACGGGTTGCGTACACGCAGTTTCCGACGTCCCTTCTGGACGTAGAACGAGAGAGGGAGAGAAAAAGACAGCCCCGAGGGCTACGTTCTTTTCTGACCAGCTATTATCGGTCCGCGGCTCCGTATTTTCTCCCCGATTACTTCTTCGTAAGCGCGCCGGCTAAGTGGCCTTCGAGAAATAATTTTCTTTCTGGGATCTCGTCGCCACCACCTCTCCTCCGACCATCTGAAATTTTGATCCGGTGAAACGATTTCGAGATACCTTACGGTACACTTCGCTTCGTCCTCTCTTTCTCTGTCTCTCCTTGCCTTGCTCCCGTAATCTCTCCGCTTGTACACCCGTGTTTTCGCTATCAATTACGTTGTCGGTACTTGCGCGACTGTGTACCGTATTTTTCGCGCTTTTTTTGCCATTTTTTCGTAGTCCTGTGCAAATTTTTTCAAGCGTAGAGTTTTACCGGTATTTATTCTCACAGGATGCCTCGATGAACAGGAAAAGTCTTGTGTTCTACCTAAGAGTATCTCGCGAAAATAAGGGTGCGCAGAAAGCGCGGGAAAATGCGGTATTTCAAAATCACCGCGTAGAGTTTCGTCCTGTACGATTCAGTTTAAAAAAATTCTTGCTTAGGATTTCTGTATCGAAGAATAGAAATTTTGCGACGTATCTTTGTGCACAAAAGAATGCCACAAATTCGTGCACTGTTTTAATTAACGCGTAACACCCTTTCGAGGGAGGTGTTGAGGATAGTTTGAACTTTGCCGAGGGGAAAGTTGTTCG